TCTGATTTATAATTCATCTTTTAATTTGTTTAATCCGGACAAGTAAACCATGGATATGAATTTTTTTCCCCATTTTCGTGGGTCACCTCCTGCAACCACACAAGAACCAAATATTTCAAGGGTGAGTGTGTTTTTGTCCAATCCCGGTACTGTCAAGAAGTAGTGGTGGGTTAAGAATTTTGTAGCCGGGGTGAGGAGGGGGGGGGGGGGGGGGGGGGGGGGTTAGGAGAGGGCATGTTTTTTAATGAAAATCCCTGAAATGGATAAACAACAATTCTCACTTCTTCTAACATTATCCTTGTGGCTTTTCCTTGAGATTAAGTCAAATTTCCTTTCATATACTTAAAGTTCATTGTGATATTGTGATGTAAACAAACTAACTGTACAAATATAAAAGAAATATAAGGAATAATGAGGGTCCTAGCTATTAAAAAAAAGGGAAAAAAAAGGAGAAATGCTTCATTGCAACCATCATAGTTTGGTGAGTTATTGTTATTTATGTTCAAACATTGTCAGATTTTGTGTATGTTCTCTTACGCTCTTGGTATTTAAAAATAAAATAAAAAGGTGTCAATCAGCAATATCATTTTGTATTGTTTTCCCTTAGCATTTCAATTAAATGCAAGTGCATCGCAACCAGATACATAGCTTATTTCCTTATGTCCTATCATATCTTTGTTGTCCCTCTGATTTATTCAAAATTTTGCTTATCAAGAGGGGAGAGGAACCCCCCCCCCCCAGCACCTCTGCCACGGGTTATAAAGGAAAAAAAGAAAATTATCCTCCAAATGATCCTGCAACATAAACACAATGGATGAGCATATTCATTCGCAGAATAGCAACAACCATAACAGAAATTACACAGTACATACATTCCAATACATATGCAACTACAGTTTAATAATCAATCAGCAACGGCGTACCTACCATCAAAAATGGACGAGCTCAGGTAAATACACCCTTTCTCTCCCTTACCCACATTGAAAAGCAAAACTTGAGAAAAATTAAGAGTGAAAGATAGTAAAAGATAGAAAACATAAAAGGGCCAGGCAACATAGAACCGATATGACATCCTTCTTTTACTTCATAGCCTTGTTCTCTAACAGTTTATCTACATTATAAGACTGATTACCATCAATAGCTGGATCCAAGCTACGCCACTTCACATGCACACTCATATGAATACAAAAATAAACAAAGTTTGTTACCATTCATCGATATCAAAGCCACAGACATACATTTCACCAATGCCATTCAGATATTTCTTCCAAGGTTCATTGAAGAATGAAATCAAAATGTTGACACATGATTTTGGTTCGTTCACCTTGAAATCTAACGACGTACATAATTGTCAAGAGAATCCATCAAATGTAAACAGGTACATTGCATTGTTTTAATCATGGGTTTTTATGACACCAATTTGAAAATTCTTTACTTAATCAAACTGAGCATTCTATGTAGCAGGGAAAAACAAAACAAAACAGAGTGCTGGTTTTATTATAGATTGATCCTAATTTTATAAAAATATCTCCATTTCAAAACATGGACTTTAATTTCTGAAATATCAAACCTACTATCATCGTATGATGGTTAAAAATGATACACAAACTTATTGAGTTCTTTGTAACAACAACTTCTCACATTATCCTTAGTTATTTGGGGCGGGTTCCTAGAAGCCGTCATAAGTCTAACTTCTTGACTATCCCATTGAAACGTGTGTTATAGAATTAACACGGGTTTCAATGGGATAGTCAAGAAGTTAGACTTATGACGGTTTCTAGGAACCCGCCCTAGAATGATAAGCATCTTATATTTAAATCAGTAGGTTCCGAAATGCATCAATTCACTTCTTTGTAGAGAGGAAGTACAAGAGCATGACTGAGTCAATGTTTGCATGGTATACCCAAGCTTGTCGAATTTTAGCGATAATAAACAAGCATGGCATCATAATGACACAGGATAAAGTGTTCAAATGGTTTTCAAAATGCTTTATGAAACATATTATGTAATCAGAACTGTTAACAAATGAAAGTTCATATGCTCATGAAAAACTACATGTAGCAGCAGATATCATATTAAGCAACTTCTCTTTAAGTTTGGCATATTCCAATCAGTTTTTTGAAGGTTGATAAACAACCAGTGTATAGTCCATTATAGAGTTACACTACATAAGATCAAAATGATACATTTAAATTATATCATTCAAACAAATAATCTTTAATAATCAAAGTGCCAATTAAAGGAAAATAATAATGTCGCTTTTTTGTCGGAACCCGTTGATGACGACGCCTAATCCATGCTTGCCATGAAAGGGCCCATGACATCGAAATACAAGTGTATTCCTGTTGGTGTGCAGTCCTGCATACATCTCATATTTTGATATATAAACTTTTGAATTTGTTTCACAGATTTTTAAATATTTTTTAAAATATTTGTTTTTCAAACTTGCTAAGCTCCAGGCTGAAAGGCAGACTTGTCGGTGAAATCGATAGAACAGTTTCGGGTGATATTTCTTACAATTTTGAGTTCGAGAGCAAGTGTGAAGGTGGGCAACATGGCAAATTTGCTTCTGTATAATATTTTACATATTATTATGCCAAAGAAACGTGGTCGCATTTGACGAACCACGAACATGCACAATTTCAGTGGTGATTTCATAGTTTAATGGTATCAAATTTTGGATGTTCCTTTAAGCGCAACTCTGCTCCTATTATCCGCTTCAAGAATTAAGACAGTGTATGTAACTGACCTTGTACAATGTCTGGTTGTTTTCACGAAACACTCGTCAATTTTTAAATTCGACCCTCTTCATCAAACTTGTCATATTACTAACTGCTTTGAAAATATGCTGGTTTACTTGTCAAGAAAATCCACTTTACTGAAATCCAGATAAAACTTCGGACGTTGCCATTGGACCTCATATTTCAGACCTCTTCAAGACATGAAGGGATATAGAAAGTGAAATGAGTGTGTGTGTGTGTGTTGTTTGAGTGTGTGTGAGAGAGAGAGAGAGAGAGAGAGAGAAAGAGAGAGGAGAGAGAGGGAGAGATAGAGGGAGTGGGATGGTGTATTTTGGGAGGGGGGGGGCGGTGGTGGGCATTACGGTACGACAGAACGATTTTTTATATTAAAAAGAAAATAATTTCATATGTACGCCACGGGACCAGTACGACAGTCCTCCTTATAATGTTCATAATTTATGGTGGTTTTTGTTGTCAATAAGTTTTAAAGAATGATTTTGTTTTTTAAATCATAAAGCGCTTAGAAACAGCATTATGCGGTATACAGATGTGATTATTATTTATATTATTATTATTATTATTATTATTATTATTATTATTATTATATTATTATTATTATTATTATTATTATTATTATTTTTGTTATTATTATCATTATTACTATTAGAAGAGCCAAGGTAAATTTAAGGATCATGCGAATGAATTACAGTACATTGCAAACAATAGACGTATATCCATCCATTGACACCTTGCCAAATGTTAAGGAATAGTTTAGTTCAATGGGCCATTTGTGTAATGTAATCAAATTTAATGCGCAAATCTTTCTAATGTACCTCCTTACAAATTATTTCATCCACCTGTTACAAATAATTGTTTTTCAAAAGTCAGAATGCGAATTGCATACATTTCATATTGATAGGTAGGACAGGCGATACTGTTTGTCCTACCTAGCAACAATAAATGTGCACTGTCGCTCATATAGTTGGAATATAATGAGAATTAATGCCTCACAAAAGGGCACTAATATAGCACATCGACACGGTTTTGATCCTGGGACCTCACAGTTACGAGGCCATTGCTTTGCCACTGAACCATGATTGTACGCAGCGGGGGCTAGGGTACGGGGCAGTTCCCACAAATAAAATAAAGACAAAGAAAATGCAATAAATTATCAATAATTCATAGAATCCCCCCCCCCCCACGATCCCCAACAGAAAAAAATCTTCTGTGTGCCCATGCCTTGAGCCATAATGCATGGATTTTTGTTTATGTTGGGGACCGGGGTAGAATGCAATGAATTATTAATTATTTAGGGCATTTTCTTTGGGTTTTTTTTATTTTTGGGCACTGCCCCGTACCCTAGCCCCCGAAATGTTATCATATATTTCATTTGTGTTGAAGAAATGTAGCTTCAATATCTTGTAATATTATATTAAATGATATATATTATCATTCTGTTGTTGAACAATAAAATATATTTCAAAACAGAACAAATCAGGCGCGGATCCAGGATTTTTCTAGGGGGAAGGGGCATTTTTAAAATTGTTTTTGCTCCCGAAAATTTGAAAATCGGACCGGCCGAAAATTCGCTGTGTGTGTGTGTGGGGGGGGGGGGGGGGAGCCATCTCCGAAAAAAGGGTAAAATTAGCGTGTTTTTACACGTTATATTTCCTAGGGAGGGGGCCGGTCCCCCGGGCGCCCTGGATCCGCCACTGGTTAAATAGTAACAGTGCATTCAGTCAAAGTCTTAAAATTAACTTGTTTTCAAGGGTTGGCATAAACATTTCCCCATTGTCGGTATCGATGGAAGGGGCTTAGTGGTAACGGAACTTCTCAGTCAAAGTCAAAAAACTGTATTCCTGTCTTGGCGTTATCACTTTCTCTTGATCAGCATGGCGCCATGGGCGGGGCTTTAGAAAAAAGCTTTAGAAAAACTTCAGTGCTCGCCTTCGTGTATTCAAGGAAGAATAGCCCTATATCATTTTCCAAAGAAAAGCAGCGATGGGCGGGGTTCCATTCTTTCCTTCGACCAAACATAACCTGACAGTCACGCATTTTTAGAAGATTGTTTTATGTCCTTCGAAATTCGGTTGTGGCCTGATGATATTTTGGACCAATCAGATTGGCCTACGACACGTATTTAAATTATTTTCCTTTTGATCATTACTGATGGGATGGGTGAAAATTGTCCTTTCCAAAACCCAAGTTTGATATACTGTGGGGATGTCTTCTACTTGTAATACTATAAATGTGGGCATCCAATCCTTCCAGCTTCATATCGAGGATCCAGCAGGCAGTTGCACAACAAGATTGGAAGGACAGCAAATCTTCGAAAGCTTTTCATATTGTGAGCAGGGTGACTATATTTCCTCTCTTCCTCAAAGTATCTCCATCAAATAACATTCATAGTATTTTGGCCGCATTATGTTTCTATACCAGAAACAGTTGGCCTGTAAGGAATAAGTTGCTTAGCTATTCATTCCTGTTGCATCATGGAAGGGTGAAATAGAAGTAGTAACATTTTGCCACCTTTTAGTGTTTTTTTGAGAGACGGAGAACTTGAAATGAAGAGAATATTTCTTTCCAATAAATACCATAAAGTTTTTTTTCTATCGGTATTGATGTGTTCTGAATTTATTACGATGACCTTAGGACTTTGATTTGTCATTATGTGAAATCGAATCAAACAGATCAAGCAATATTCCGAAGAATTTACAATACGAAGCATTATTAATTATTTCCAAATATTTTTGACAAAACTTCTACTTGACAATGTGCAAACTTCAGTTTGATACGAGTTCAATTCAATTTAAGTTATAAATGATATGTCAGGTGCATCTACTTACACCAAAGATTAATGAAAATGATAACAATAGAAATTATGGTGTTAATTATAGTTTTAAGGATACTCGGATGACTCTACGTATGCGCCAACATTACAACTATTTGAATATCATGGCCCATCATTATTTCTGTTCTGGTTACCACAGACCTCCAAATTAGCAGGTAGCTTTATCCACAAACTGTTGGCTTACTTCCTTTTGTGTTGATATTCAGTAAAATACCACAGTCACTATCTTAATCATTATCTTATTCTCCGCGTCATTCCTACAGCCATCCGATTATTTCTTTTCTTATTTTTTGGTATCCTTAGTTCTTCTTTGAGTTCGACAAAACGTCTTGAACATGGCTAAACTTTTCTTGTACATGGCACTCGCTGCTATCTTAGTGCTTGTTTCAAGCATCCCCGATTGTAAGTATACATTTTTCTTTTAAATGTACCAATATATCAATAATAATATTACAAATATTTAAGAGTGATTTTTATACAGTCTCACTATTTCAAGTTAGGATATATTGCATGCTTTGAAAAACATGACTCTTAAGCATGTTAAGTGGATTATTCAAAGTCTTTAACCTCCCCCCAATCAGACAGACAAAATACATTTTATATGTGTGTGTATATATATATATATATATATATAAGTGAAATCTCGATTAAAGAAAATAAGCCGACAGATTTGCAGACCAAAACATGTTAGTGGATTAATAAACGCCTTGGCACTTTCACTTAGTTGCTTTGGAGATATTTTTTTAAAGGAAGAAAATTGAACCATACATGTATGTATTAAATGAAGGACCATGCAGAACAGGAAAGTAGTCTAGGAGGGCATTTCAAAAGCACTCATATTTATCAGATACCTTTATTAATACCATGCTCTTTCGGCATCCTCATCGTAAGAAACTTATTTCTTTTAACTTACCCAACTAAAGCTGTTATGAATCTAGTTTACCATTACTGTATCATTATGATCATTTTTTTTGTTGAAAATTGATCTCTGTAAAATTTTAGCAGTTAAAAACAAATTTCCGAATGGACAATAAATACTTAATTTCAATTTTAATTTCATTCTCTCTTAAATGAATAAAACAATGCGTAAGCCTACATTAATCATTGTTTAGGCACGGACGATCCAAACGGGACCATCTACAGGGGAGAGTTGGCCCAGACATTTTCCGGTAAAACATGCCAATCCTGGAACTCACAGACCCCACAGGGGCATTCCCGGACACCCGCCAACTACCCTAATGCGGGCCTTGGAGATCACAACTACTGCAGAAACCCCGACGGTGCATTCACCGCTTGGTGTTACACCACCGATCCTGATACCCGATGGGAGTATTGTACCATTGGTGATTTCAGCCCCGAATGCACGAGTAAGTATTGTATATGTATGCGAATACATTCAGCACAAAACATACAGTGGACGCTATTCATATTAAAGATATTTAAATAGAATATTGAATTCGAGTTATTTTTCATATTTCATAATAACATAAAATAACCCTCTCTTAGATGATATGGAATTTGATTTATAACACTCATGCATGAGTTAGCATAGTCATTAAACAATTAATTAGTCTCTGAAAGAAAATAATTAAAATCGCATCCTACCGGGTACCTATGGGTGGAGAGAGCGAATTTAGCTAAGGTGCTTTGATTGAGGACATGAGTGACTTGCCGAACCCACGACCTTCTTCTGTATCCAGTTAAGCGTTTAAACCAATCGACTTCGAAACTTCTACTTACTCCACATTGAATTAGATCCCGAATGCTACCACCAATCCCCTGGCGCTGACTACCGAGGAGAAGTCTCGACTACCCGGAACGGTCGTGAGTGCCAAAACTGGACCTCCCAGTCGCCCCATGGTCACAGCCGCACGCCAGATAACTACCCTACCTCTGGTCTCGGGGACCACAACCTCTGCCGCAACCCCGATGGCGAGGAATTCGCCTGGTGCTACACAACCGACCCCAGTGTCCGTTGGGAGTTCTGCAACATCGGATTGCCCGAAGAGGGTTGCTAAATGGCGTTTCAAAGAGTCTTCCTAAAATGAGCGGAGGGGAGGGGGTGTCTCTGGTATCTTGTCATGTTTGGTCATCGTAATTTTGCTTATTATATCATCTTTTGATTCAAGGGTGACTTTGTAGGCCGTATGGTGGCTGACTTACTGCTCTGATTATAACTTCCTAATACATTTCACTGTCTGTCATTTCTTAATGGAATACATACAAAGGTTAATGGGCAAAGCCATTATTGTTCAAACCTCTCTACGAGAAAGTATGGACCTCATTTCCTGTTCATATTTTAACAATTTCTAACAGCCTTTATTATTAAGGTGTAGGTCTTTGTAATTTTATAGGTGTTAACTTGTTGATCTATTCCTTTCTTTTGATCGGAGTGGTTGGGAGAGGAGGGTTTAAGTATCTCTATCAAGTGGTATGTTGCAGACAAAAATAACAAACAAACAAATAAACAAGAAATAGAAGGAATTGGCAGAATAAATGTTTCATCACTTCACCATCACAAATTTATTTCATTGATATATTAATAATGATATAGCAGTGTAACTCAGATTGAATAAACAGTAGTAACACTATTTCTTCGCAATAATATTAAGCATTGGAAACGTTGCTGTTTTTACTCTTTGAATTTGTATTAGAATTAAATCTTATTATTGTTGGTATTAGCTATGGTGTAGTACTGGACTAAGTATTTCAAAATAATGTTAAAAGTAACGCTTTTTAATTTTGCATTCCTTGGTAATGAATTACACCACCCCCTCTGAAATTATTTGTTAAACAATAAACGACGATTGAAACATCTCTAGCATAATCATAATGTTGTGTTTACTTTGTTGTCTTTCTGTTAATTAATGGACAAGTTTGACACAAAATAGTCATTTTTTTGTCGTTGTCCGTTCTCCAGTACGTTTATTTACTAGACAATGGTTGGTTGGAGGTGGAAAAGGGAGGGGATTCAAAAGCAAACGGAACTGAGCTCAAGAGGAAACAAAGATTGTAAATATGAAAATGTAAAGGATAGGAGGACGAATGAATAATGAGAGAGGAAGGTATAAAGCATGTAAGAAAGAGAGGGATAAAAGAAAATGTAAGAAAAAACTAATAAAGAAAATGGAAAACGGAAAAGGAGACATAACGAGAGAGATAAAAACGAATATGATACAACACTAATAGAAGAAAAATGGAAAAGCGACAAGGAAGAAAGAGAGAGAGAGAGAGAGAGGGGGGGGGGGTTGTGGGCGCGTGCGTGTGTTGTGCGTGAATGCGTGTGTGTGAAGGTGAGAGAGAAGGATAAGAGGAGAGAGAGATGGGGAGTGGTTGGGGCTGAGAGAAAATTTAAGAATGTAACGAAGGCGCTAATCTCTTTCCTTTCGTTTTCTTTCCCTTTTTAATTTTGAATATTCATTGTGATGTTTTAAAGATTATCATATTTTCATTATCTTTGGAAACTTAAAATATAATTAACTAGCCCCGATCATCTTACAATCTCTTTTAAATTGCATATTGGTAAATTTAAACTGCAACTCCTTTTTCCTCCTCGGAACAGTTTATTTGAACAGACCTCGTCTTCGATGTTACATTCACCTTCTCCTCTTCTAGGCTTTTCCTGTATTGGCGAAACATGTGCGATAATAATAATAATAATAATAATAATAATAATAATAATAATAATAATGATAATGATAATGATAATAATAATAATAAGTAGAATGATAATGATTTAAAAAATTTTAAAAAATTATGTATAAGCACAAAGATTACCAAAAAATATACCTATACGTCGTGTGTCCAGACAGGCTTTTGCATCCGGACGGCTGCTTTAAAACAGCAATTTGAAGAAGTTTACAAGCAAATTTTCTTAACTCTTTTAAGAATTATGTTCGACAATATTATACAGGACAAATATTAATGATGGTTAGTGCTTGTTCATGAATATTGTTCATTAAATACGAAGGCAAAAGAGAAGGCTATATGTTTGTTAAATGTCCGGACACACAACCCCATCTTGCGCTAGTACTGAATGGATTTCGGTCTCTTATCAGACTTGGATTTTATCATGATTACTTCAGATAATAGAGTACATTTTCTGTTAGTTCAACTAAATGCCTGTGGAGCGCCAGGACTCCAGGAGTGTCATGTTTTGAAAGACATGAGCGCTATGCAAGAACCCACATTTTGGATGACTTCAAAAAGATGACCTTACCCCCCCCCCCCCTCCCCAACGGAACGGAATGTCGATCGGTCAAATTTTCAAATTTCGGGCTTCGGCCCCCCCCCAAAAAAAAAACCCTCTTACCCCCCCCCCCCGCTTATTCAGCGGCTGGTTAAGTAATAATATGTCTTCTTACCCTCCCCCCCCCCCCGCTTATTCAGCGGCTAGCTGAGTCGTTGCGAAATTTTCGGCCCGATTTCAAAATGTTTACCCCCCCCCCCCCTTTGAAGAAAATCCGTATAATAAAATGGAGTAAAAAGATAAATTAATTGGTACATCACAATCGCAAAGGCTTTCATAAAAACCGGCCATATTACACTTTCGATATATATGCGGTATTGTTATGCACACGTCGCATTTTGAAATCCGAATCTATGATTTCTAAAGCGTTAAATTTGATACATTAAACAGGGTACTGAAATTGCCCTTGCAAGTTGCGCTGATTTCTTAAAAGTCATTGCAATCAAATTCCACTTACATTCCAAAGTTCTCGCCCTCTTCCAGCGTGTCAGGGAGTTTCCTCCCTCGGGTTTCGGGGAGGAGGAGGGTGGAGAACCCGACGGCTACCCCTGCTGCACCATAGATCACCATGGGGAGGGGGCGCCAGTACTTGGATAGTGTGAGAATGAGGGGAGAGATGATACCTGCCACGCGGGAGAAGTAGACCGGGAGCCAGGGGGGGTCAACCTAGCTGGGAAGGAAACCAATTTTCATGTGCACAGATGTAAATATCGCATACCTTCACATAACAAATTGACCGTCTGGCATGTTGTAAGTGGTGGGTGTGGCCAGGGGGACGCCCCCAACCAAAAAAGTGGCCCTTTTGACGACAAAATAGTATTTTGTAAATAATATTTTAAGGAAACCTTGAACCACCATGAGTTTGGTGTCATATGAAAGAGAGTTAAATTATCTACATTTTGATATCAATTCTAAAGAATTTGGGATTAATTAACATCGCAAATTTAAGTAAAAAACATGATTTTTGTGATTTTTTTCGAAAAATTGAATTTTACCAAAAAACATTATTTTCCATATATCAAAATTGAAAAATTAATTTTTTTAATTACTTTCCAGGAATTTGCTTATGTACAACGACAATATCCTGTGCGAGGGAGAGGTTTATATATCATTTCTATAAAAAGTTATAGCAATCCAAATTTATTGATCTGATTTCCACAAAAACAACATTTTTGCCCACATGTGTATTAACTGTATGCATATACGTGCATTAGTGTATTAAGGACCTGTTTGGTGTGTTTACATCAAGTTTTAAAGATAACTTTGAACTAAAACCTCTAATCACCATGTATTTGGTGTCAAAAGATGGATAATTAAAATACCTTCATTCTGATATCAATTTCAATGAGTGATGTAATGTGTGAAATATAAATTTTGAGCCAAAAAGGTGCTTTATTGTAGATATTCCTCTGATTTTGGCCAGTATATCGGTATATTACTGTAACTGGACAAAAGTGAAAAGACATTTAGTAGTGCAGAAAGTTCAAAGGATTTGGAGCACTGAGTGCAATTGATAAGGTTCTTCTTCTGTACTCTGGGATGTTTGAGGAAATGTGGACATTGGCAGTTGCCTCTCCCCCCCCCCCCACCCGGCACCCCGCCCCCTTCCAGCCGCTTGTCATAATCTTGCCCATGCCCAAGATAAGTTAGTGCATCGATCAACATGAATATAATATAATATTGCCATATTTGGTTAATGCCCTTGCCTCTCCCTCCACCCCCCCCCCCCAACCCGCCCCCAAAAGGGGGGAGGAAGGGAAAGGGAAAGAGGAGAGCTAAAAGGGAACAAAAACAGGAAGAAGAAAAGAAAAGGGTAAAAAGAAGGGGGAACAGTTGTGATTAATCCCGCCAAAAACGTGTGGATTGAAGGGGGAGGCGAAAAACTCTTCCCCCCCCCCCATCAAACTTAAAACAGAGAGAAGAATGGGAAGGGAAAGGAAAAGAGTGGAGAAAGGGAAAGAAAAAAAAGAGAAAAAAGAAAGGTAGGGGGGATCAGTTGCGATTTTCCCCGCCAACAAGGTGTAGATCGGGGGGCCAGGGGGAGGGCCAATGGCGTACTGATGGGGGAGGGGGCTTGGGGGAGACAGATCCTCCTAAGTATAATTCAAACATGGTTTATTTCTAAATCGATACCGCTGATTTACAAATGTTGTTGAAATAAAGAAAAAAATCCGAAATTTTTACTCAATATGTAGTACATTATCATTTTTTATGCGTTTGTTGGAAAATGGCAAATTCTTCTTCTGTTGTTTGAGGAAATGTGGGCATTGGCAGTTGCCTCTCCCCTCCCCCATCCCCACCCCGCCCTTTCCAGCCGCTTGCCATAATCTTGCCCATGCCCCAGCCAAGTTAGTGCATCGATCAACTATTGCCATATTTGGTTTAATGGTTTATTTTGCCCGACTACTAAGAAAACACGTGTATGCTTGTAAGCAACCAATAATCCGCATAATTCCTATTGTGATTAGATTAGAATGACATAAACTTTTTTCATAAAATAGTTTCGGCTAGGTATGCAAAGTTATTTTTTCTCTCGATTACTAGTAATTCGGTACAAAAATTGAAGGAACATTATGAAACTACTTGATTCGATTGAATCTCAGTTTAAGTTTTTTGTGTGTTTCAAATAGAAGGTTCGACAACTTCAATTTGAAATCTTTTCTGCTTAGCCATGAATAATTTAAAATCGTTACTAACTCCTTGAACTTCTAAGGATCTCACAATTTGATGATTGGAAAATGTCATAAGGTACAAGCTTATAATTTTGATAGCACACCACCGTCTACATTAGAGTTCTATCATGCCCGTTGCATAAATCATATGGTCTTTTTGAACATG